ATATATATGATTGGTTAGTTCAATGGAATTAATGGAGCCAATGGAGCCAATGAATACTATTCCATTCACTCTATTGGTTCCATTGATAATTTTCTCAATGAACATTATCCATTGCCAACCCTGACCGGAACCAACGAATCCTGTTTTATATTTTCAATGTAATATACTATGAAAATTATGATATTACCGATTCAGTATTCTGGACATTTTTAGTGACACATTAACATAACTGATAAAGTAATATCAGTTATAGAAAAATGACTAGCTACCATTATATAAATATGCCGTTACCAAAGCAATTAATACAATCAAATGACCAAATGCCAGGGTTAATATTTCCTTACAGGTTTTATTTATGCTGCAATTATATTATTATTATTATTTTAAGGTTAGTTATTTTTTTATAGTTAAGCCCAATTATATATTATTATTATTTTTATTTAATTTGTAACTACATATCGCTATGGTGGGATCAGTCTAGTCATTTATAGTAAGAATTTATAATTGATCATGTTTTTAATACCAAGGTACACGTATTAGAAAAACGGCAATTTTTAAGATTTCATAAAGGTCAAAATAAAATTTAATTTATGTATAGTTTACCATATATGAAGAGTATTATACAGTATTAGAGTATACGTATTAAATTTGTTTTTAACTTAAAAAAATAAGTAAAGATTTAGTTTCTTGATAAAATTAATATGAAATTGATTACGTAACAAACAAAGAATTCTTATATTTCTATTGATTTTTGTTCTTTTTTGCCATGTGAGCATTTTTTTATCGACATTTATTGGGGATCATTCATTAAGGATGTAAATAATAACATATGCATGCATGTGCAAATAAGTCTAATGTGCTTGTATGCGCATCGGTAAACCCTAGTTCGGTAGTTTGTTCAAAAGACAATAGTATAAAGCACAATTTTATTTGTAAAATATTTTAGTACGTACAACATTTCTAATCCTAAATTCTTTGCTTATTATCGTATTAAAAAATGCAGTAAAATAGGAAATCATGATTGGTCAAATTCATATAATTCACATATATGCATATATGTACACCCTTACAGTACATTATCCTAGTTTATAAAGTTCTGATTATGCGTAATATTTCATATTATTCTGGGGCGCTTATTGCTTATCGTTATATTATTAAACTCTTTTGTTAATGATTGACGTGATCAGATGATCATTAAGATAATTTTAGAAAATATACGCGAACTCTAAAAGCTAATATGAAAGTTTCATATTGTCAACATTCTCAGTGCACCCCTTTGAATGTAATGAGGGCATGCATTTAGAGAAATAAAGCATGTCTAGAGAATGATTTTTATTTTTTGAAGATTAAAATTCAAAGAGTATATTTAGAAAGATTATTTAGAGAAGGTTGGTAGTATTGTATTGACTCTACAGGAAATCATACAGATAAGGAATAAATTTAAAATTGGTAAATCTCATTCCTTGATTAATAATAATAAAAGAGATTGATTTGTGGGAATGATAATTCCGACGGACCTATTGATAAGTTTAATCGCGAATAAGCACGTGAAACGTGAAAACAACAAACCTTACGAAGAAAGGAAAGTAACCCAAAGAATAATATTAAAAATGAAAGAAAAACTTGAAGGTTAATAATGTTTTTTTTGGGGGAGAATGAAACAGTAAGACACAAAATCGATAAGACTAGACTAGATTAGTAAAATTTCTTTGTGTGATGTGATATTCGAGACAATGAACTTTATTACTTAGCAGTTACCATTAAGCATATAATTTATATGCGGATGTGAGTGGGACGTTTGTGTTCATAATTGGTTTGTAAAAAGGTTGATTGTCACAATGTAATACTTTTCCTTTATACATGTGCAGAATTCTTTGTCTTTGAAAATATTCCAAACAATTCAGATCAAGGTTGACATTAATGATGAGAGCACAATACCATCTATTATAAGCTAGACTATAAAAAATTCACACCTAAAACCATGAATGCTAAATACTATTAAAAGTATTTCATTAACAATTTTAGGCTTCCGATTAGAAACCTTTTTTTAAGCATCATAAGAAAGTCGTTTCTTATTTTGGCTACGCACGTCATATGTAACTAATAGTACGCGATGGTAAAATTCAAGAAGGTAAAAGAAGGTAAAACTCAAGAAGGTAAACATTATAAATCCACCAAATCTGGTGGTGGTAAACTAAAACGCATATGGAGCATCATCGCCAGCCCTATTGCATTATTACTTAAAAATTTTAAGTATTGCATAATATGGGAATAATCGCGTTTTCATACTTATACGAATTAGGGGATCACCTCTTATTTTAAACCATGAAAAAACTTGTTTTTACTGCTTAAATTATTACAATAGATAATTAGTTAAATTTTTATTACACGTATCATTACAGGTATTTAATCACTAAATAATATATATATATATATATATATATTTTAATAAAAATAATTACTTTGAAAACTTTTACATCACGTGAGAAAATCCGAATACTTTTAATCACGTAAACAAGTCGCGACAAGACACAGGTCACGTAATGCGTAGCTGCGCTTTTATTAATATCAGATATCATACCTGAAAAAAGTAGTTTGAACACCAATAATTATATGTTAATTATTAGTATTATGTCATGTGTTAATAAATTTTTTTTTTACATATGGAATTCAAAGTCAAATTACCGCGCATTTAGGAAAAACTTTACTTTTTAATTTTTAAACTCAATTTACATTAAATGTCAGTGATTAATAATATAATGTATTTATATACATACACTTACATATATATATATTTTTTTTTACATAAAAAATTCAAGGCTGTGCTTCTTCTGCTATGTTCGATTATGTCCGTTATTGTCAACATTTATCACCAGAAATTATAGATCAATTAACTCATGAAAGATCTTTTTATGAACCTCGTGGTGATCCTCTTCGACAATTTCGTGATTTACTTGTAGAACAAGAACTTTATAAACTTTTTATGTCTCATTCTTGTTTAAGATATCTTGTTTTACCAAAAATTCCTCTTTCTTATTGTCCTGGATTTGGATTGTGTTTACAAAAACTTCGTGAACTTGTCTGTCGTTCAGATCAACCAGTTGACCTTTTTTATGGCTTGGCACAAATTTGTAGAAGTATACAAGGTATAATTGTTGATCCATGTATAGATGATAATGCTGGTCTTGCTGCTCTTATTGGATTTCAATCAAATTTGAAATATTTGGAAATACATGCACCTGAAGTTCGTACAGTTGAATGTTCTTTAATAGGTCAAGCTATTGTATCTCAGGCTCATTCATTAATTTATGTTCATTTTCAAGGATTTTTATGTATTCATCCTTCAATTCTCGCTTCTTTATCTAATTTAAAGACTTTGAAACTTTTTATGTCCGGTCATATTACTAATATTCAACAATTCGCTTCATCAACATTTCCGAAACTTGAAGTACTTGATATTTTTTGGGATGAACATACTCCTTTCAATATTTTTACAATGCTTATTCAAAATACTAGAGGTTCTCTTAAACGTATATATTGGAATACAGATTGCCCTCCTAAAGAATCAGAAGATATACGATGTTATCTTAATATTCTTACACATAATGCATTTTCAAATCTTACATTTGCTACAGTTTGGTGGACAGAAGATGTTGATCGAGAATTTGAAAATTTTTTAAAATCATGTTCAAATTTACAAGCTTTAAAAGTTTGTTCATTTCCTTTAGATGGAATTCCTCAAGATATAACAAGATTATTACAATTATTATGTAAGAATACACCACCTGGTTTAAATGTTTTAGATATTGATGGAGATTGGATTTTAACTCCTAATCATCTTCAAAAATTTC